TTCCCCTGTCTTAACCCAGTCTATTCCAGTCCAGCTCTTTCTCTCACCTTTTCCCAGCTCTATATTTATACTCCTTTGGCATCAGGAAGGAGTGTTTTAACTATACTGCCTAGGAACCACAGAATGAAAGGGGAGCAGTGAGCACAGGAGAGCTGTGTGGTTAAACTGCCCAGGCTGTATTGCCCAGCTGGGCATCCACACATCTTAGGCTGCAGTGCAAGACTGTCACAGTTTTTCTGATCTCAGGCCCTGTGCTTCTTACTCTGGTGTCCCCTGGTTGCAGAAAAAGGCCTGTGTAGGACAAGAATAGACAACGGTCAACTGCTGGGGTTAATATATGGTTGATGTGGTTTTATTTTCAGAGCTCTGGGAAAATGGAACATGTTAGCAGTAGACAGAGGCTGTAAATCTGCCAACTCTGACAAGACTCCCTTGAGTATACGTAGAAGGACACGCCCAAATTTTATCTCTTTTTCTGCAGTTATCACATCAACAATATCAGTGAAAGGCGTAAGTTTTTTGAATGTAGACAAAACAGTTTTTCCACTCACATAGAAGGCTTTTACAGAAAATTTCCAGAAAAGTTTCTTCCCAAGACAGAAACCTGGCATGGAAGACAACTGAAGTTTGGCAAGGTTGTAAGCAACTGAGAAGATGTAATAAAGTGATGTTAAACCACTTAATTATAAACATAGTTACCAGCTAAATAATTTCAGTAGCAGAGATGTTCTTGATGCAGCTAATTGCACTTCCTGATACTACCTGAAATAAAAGGTGAATTAATGAGAGGGAAAAACAAAGTTAATGAAAGTTAATAAGAGACAAGAAAATGTGCATATAGATACATCCACACGGGGGAGAGAGAGAGAGAGGGAATCCCTGTTGGGTCTGTAGGGCAAGCCGCTGCATAGAGTAGTAATGCCTACTATAATTAATTTTTCCTTGTTAGATTTTAATTTGTTTTACCAGTCACTATTGCTTTATAAACTCTTCTGACAATCTTTTTTGCCCATCTGCTCATTTGCCCTTGCCTCCTCACATCATTATTGGTTTTTGTTTGTTTTGGCCTGAGTAGAAAGTCACTCAAGGAGCCCATGTGCTCATCTCAGAGAGAAAAGGAGGAGAGGCCCTGGCTGTGCATATGCTTGGTTCTGACTGCCTTGTGTGTGTATCTATCATGACAGGGTGTGTGCCATTTGAAGGAGAATAGGTGTTACTGAAGAGCAAATTCAGATGAGATCATAAATATCCAAAATTATTTGTTCCAAGTAATAGTAACAACAGCTGCTACAGAAGTTCAAGTAAAATCAAGATTTTTCTCTTGGTACTGTACTGCATAATAACAGATCTTTTAAAGGGTTTGTCTCTTTTTCTAAATCAGAATTCACTTAATATTTTAGATACTGGTGATCAGCGCACTCTGATGCCCTAGTATTTCTAATTTTAAATTAATTTTTCTCCCTATTTTTTCAAAAGAAATTTTAAACTTCTACTTTAAATGCCTATGAAATGTGTTTTAATGTGTATTTATTTTCTAGTTTAATTTCTTATTAACAGAGCAGTAAAAAGTAGTAAATCTGGATCTTCACCCTCCCTTTAAAATTTCCTAATGACCCTCATATTTCTAATTAGAGTTTGTCTCAATGGTAAAAGAATCAGCAAAATATTTGTTGAATAGGAGACACAAATACTGTTGCTAATACTGTGATAGTTTTGTAGCTGTAGTGCCTATGTGAAGCTTCTGTTACTGAGAGAAAATATTTATTCCAAATATATCTGTTAATTTGGCAAATGTTATTAAATCTCTTTAAATATATCATCTCTCCGAAGAAGATATTTGCATATATTTTTTTCTAAAATTATTCTCCAGAATTTGGAATAATGAGTGAAATTAGACATTCTGTCAAAAATATGATAACATTTATGAGAGTCCATACAATTAAAAAAGCAAATCACCATTTAGTTTTAGCCTTGATGTCTTCAATACTGATGGAAAGGTCGCTGAGTAGTTCTTGTTGAATGAGATTTTCTCTAATGTTTAAGCCACCAATAAAAACCCCAGTTAAGTCCTTCATAGGAAACTTAAGAATTGACTGATGGGAGTCACATGGTTAAATCAGTGCTTGTTATTCATAATTTATTCAATGGTTGATGGAAAAAAATTGTCCAATTATTTGACAAATACTGCTTGGCAAGATGATTTACAGAGAATAATGCAAGTATTTGTTGAAGAATTTAAAGTGACAAAAACTGCCAAAATTACGGCCTTTATTCTCAATGCAGTGATTAGAGCTGATTGAATGATATTCAGACAGTTTGACTAATTTTGAATAGTCCTTACACAGGCAATATTCCCATTGACTTCAGCTGGAATTTTGCCAGAGTAAGGACTACAGGACTGGGCCTTTAAGTGTAATGTCTTGAAAGGGTCCCTTTATGAAGCAGCAGCTTAAATTCTGAACCGCAATGAAAACCCATTTTCACTTTTCTCTTACTTTGCCTGTTCTGTGGAATTGCTCTGTATGAATGTTAATCCCACTCCCTCTTTATCAGTAGAGGGTGCTATGGGAGTTTTGTGCTCTCCAGTAGCCTTTTGTTTATGCACAGTTCAATCTAATTTAAGTTGAACTGACCATTTCAATGGGAGTCAAGTGTGTATTTAAATGGTGTGTGGGAGAGCCATAGTTTAATGGCAAACCATTTCCTTAATTGATTCAAGTTAAAGAAGGGAGACATTTTAAAGTGGATATTTTCAGATTCCTGGCTTCTACCCCCATATCCTCCTAAATGGGTCACTGAACATGGTCTTACACCTTTGCATGATAAATGATAGCATTTGCATGTGTTTTTGAAAGGCAGGTACAGTATTCTAAATAACTAGAAATGTATAATAAACTAATATTATTGAATATAAACTTCAGTGACTTTTTAAAGTTCATGATCTTTGTAAATGTTAGTAGGACTTTAATATAAAAGAAGTGTTTACAAATCCCTGAAATGGAAACACTCAAAAGTGGAAAAATTGTTTTTAGTAAGTCAGTATATCACAGGCTTTGTTACGAGAGTGTTAAGGTTGTAAAGTCAAGTGTAGAGAAAACAGAAAATACATAGGTAATCTTAATTCTGGTAATTTTTGTTCATCCACACCCTGACAGGGATGGTAAATTACATGATTACATATCTACTTTTTTCTGTGAGATGTCTGTGCCTTTAACATATACAATAGACACCACTGAATAGGAGCTTTATGAAATGTTTCTTTTTATCTCAATTGCTCAGTGCATGCCACTGAGTTATTTGCTCCACACCATTCTGTCCAGTATTGAATACATGATTATCAACTTCCTCAAGTATCTTTCTATAGTGCTACTATAAGAGGATAGTTTATTAATCCTTTGGTTAATCACTGTTTAATGTATTGTTGCTATTTAACACACAAGGACGGGAAAGATGGTGAAATGCAAGGTAAAAGTGATGACTAATTTTATCAATTCAGTTTGAGATGCCTTAAACCTCACACATTTCAGAGTACTTTACACTTCTTGTAGTGAAAGCAGATCTGTAGCCAACTCCTGCAGTTCTGAATTCTCAGCCATTTCATAAATCAGATTCTGTGATCTCATATATAATCTGGATTTTCAGGAAGTAAGGGCCAGACAGTCAGGGCTCAGCAGTGAAAAGATCAGGGTGACTTTTTCAGCATCATGTAAGTGATGCTATGGCCAAAGCTGACAAGACTCCAATACTTGAGGATTATATTTTTTATCTTAAGACCATGTTTTTTTCTTTTCTTTATGCATTACCTGTCTTTCAACTCCTGCTGTAAATGAGAGAGGGTCTTAAAGATGTCAGTCTCATTTCCTGCCCAGCTGTGATGAGTTACCAGACTATTGCCCTCTTGGTACATGGAATGAAATGGCTTCATGTAGATGAACATCTAATAGTCAAAAACTGCTGAGGTGTTGAGAAAAAGTTATGGGGGGATTCCAGAGTGCTCGAGTTCTTTTTCATCCTTAATATTTATAATGCCATCCTGTGGAGAGAAATAAAATTTCAAATTTGTTGGAAAGGTGATTGTGAAATTGCACCTAGAAATATGCTGATTGCCAAAGTCACTGGAGGCACTGGACAGTCTACTGTCATTTGTTCTTCTTTGTTACGTGACTGAGCTTTCACCGTGAACTTTGTAATTGAGATTCTTTATCCAATCATCCAAAACCTTTTCTACCTGGTTCTCATTCCACTGTGATAATTTGCAATATATCCTTTCTAACCCTGAATGGGGAGAGGAAGGATAACAGACAGAGGCAATGAAAAGCACAGGAGGGAGAAAATTTCCAGCTTTCATTCCTAGGCAGTGGGCCTGGTGGGTGCACACAGGCAGAAAGGCAGAGCCCTGTGAGGGGATGGATCTGTGATTTGGGAGGATGTGGGGCACACACTCCAACTGGACCAACAGGTTTCAGTTTGGTTTCAACAGGTTTCAATCAGTGGAGCTTGCTTCTTATTATCTGCTACACAGTCAAAATTTCCTCTCAGTCTGTGTGGGCAGATTTGCAGAAGCTCATAACTTGGCTTAATTTGTGGACAACAGAACAACAGAATGTTGATGCTATGGCAACTGCTATGCCATATTTCCAAATCCCGATCTGAGTCATGGAGGGAGCTGTAGCATCTCCACCAAACAGCTGTGAAAGGTATTTTTTACTTAGAATAAAAAGAGGGGGAGGAGGTAATAGGGGAAGCAATGCTTTCATCCTCTCATCCCTGAGAAAGAAGAGAATAATTTTAGGTCAACATTTCTCAAAAACTTCAGCCTTTATCAGACAAATTTTTGAGAATGTCAGTCCAAATCATTACAGTTTGGGGAAGCTGTGAACTCTCATAAAGATGGTCAAGTGGGAAGTCTGAGACAGCCTTGTTTAAGAACACTGTGTTCTGCAGTCAGTGCATTCTCTATTGTAAACCAGAACCTTCTGGTGGTGCTTTTTTTTCATCACCTTTGTAGCGCCTCCTTACTACCTCAGAGATACCATTTTGATTAACTCCAGTTCTTGCATGTGCAAATTCTGCTTCCTCTGACATCATCAAAAGCATTGTTATGTTTTTGTTCTAGTTTTGTTTGTTTGTGTTGTTTGTTTTTTTTTTAAATAGCAGTTCAGAATCCAAAGGTGTTGTCTTTATTGTCTGAGGCTACTGCTAGAACAGATGTCAGATGACGAGTACCTGAAAATGATTGTAATATAAAAAAATGTTTACTTTCTAAATTGAAGACTATCCCATCTTTTTTTTTTTTTCTGTTTGCCACTGTAACTGATTAGTGTGCTCCACTTCCAAACGTGTTTTACTGAAAATTTTGCTTATTTCCCATTTTCACAGTTGTATTCTTAGTACTTCCAACAGTAGAATTTTCTTGCAGGTCAAATTCATGTCATTCTTCCTTACTGGTCTCTAGAAGGTAATCTTTCTTTCCAGCTGCTAAGGAATAACAGTGTTATTGTTAAGGATACTACCACTGTAACATGTCTGTATTTAGGTAGCTATTTGAGGAAAATCATATAATACTCTTCTTAAACCTAGTACTAGAGGAAAAGATTTGGCTTGTTTTTTATTTGTTTATATTTAGACATTGAAAGAGGATTTTAAGTGGTGATTTTAAGAGGTGATTTAGGTGGTGATTCAGGGAGAGTAAGTGAAAGAACTGAACCTTAGAAGATACCCTAGCAATTTTCTTTTACCCCATTAGATCATTCTTTCTGAAGAGACTAGTAAAATACACTCAGTGACCAAAGTCATCATCACTTGAGTAGAACACAAACCAGTTCAAATCATACCTGTACCCTTACCTCAGCTGTGGAAGAGAGAGCAGTCAGATTTGCTTATGCTACAGTTCTTCTTTTCTTAGGTGCTTTTAGCTTGCTTAAAACTGACAATTCCTGTGGCGTGAGTGTTTTGTCACCCAGGACTGAAAAAATGCTTGAGCATGTGCTTAACTTCCTGTGAGCCAGCTCATCCATTTAATGGACACTTAGACATCTGAGAGTAAGTAAGGTTCACTTCCAGGTTTGAGCCCGTGGCATCACAACAGGTTACCTGCAACGAGAGTGAGTTGGTGGGGTCTGTGTCCGAGGTATATGGCTTACACAGCCTTTGCTGGGAGGTTTCAATGGTGGGCTGTGACAGTTTATTCAGTGTTGTATTGGGTTTACATAGAAACTACAGGGGTGGCCTCTGTGAGAAGCTGCCAGAAGCTTCATGTCAAATAGAACCAGTGCCAAGCAGCTCTGCTGAGATGGACCTGGCACTGACCAAGTCTGAGCCCATCAGTTATGGTGGTGGTGCATCTGGGATAATGTGTTTAAGAAGGGAAAAGTGCAATTGCAGACAGAGAGAGGAGTGAGAATAAGTGAGAGCAACAACTCTGCAGACCCCAAGGTCGGTGCAGAAGGAGGAGGAGGGGGTGCTCCAATGCCTGGAGCAGAGATTCCCCTGCAGCCCGTGGTGCAGACCATGGTGAGGCAGGATTTGTTCCTGGAGCCCATGGCAGTCCATGGCAGAGCAGAGATCCACCTGCAGTCCATGAAGAGCCTCATGGCAGAGCCTGAAGGAGACCATGCCCCTGTGGGAAGCCCATTCTGGAACAGGCTCCTGTCAGGACCTGTGGACATGTGGAGAGCAGAGCCCAGACTGGAGCAGGTTTGCAGGCAGGACTTGGGACCCTGCAGGAGACTCACACTGGAGCAGTTCATGAAGAACTACAGCCTGTGGGAAGGACCCACACTGGAGAAGTCTGTGGAGAACTGTCTGCCGTGGGAAGGACCCACGCTAGAGCAGGGGAAGGGTGTGACGAGGAAGGAGCAGCACAGAGAACATGTGATGAACTGACCACAAGCCCCAGTCTCCATCCCCTTGCACCACTGGAGGGGAGGAGGTAGAGAAAACTGGAGTAGAGTTAAGTCCAGAAAAGAGGGAGGTGTGAGGGGAACGTGTTTTAAAATTTAATTTTTATTTCTCATTATTGTATTCCAATTTGATTGGTAGTAAATCAAACAAATTTCCCCGAGTCTGTTTTGCCCAAGATGGTCACTGGTGAGTGATCTCTCCCTGTCCTTAGCTCACAAACCTTTTGTAATATTTTCTCTCCCCTGTCCAGCTGAAAAGGGGAGTGACAGATCAGCTTTTGTGGGTCCCTGGTGTCCAGCCAGGGTCAACTCTGCACATATATCTATAGAGATGACCCAAATGAAGCTTGCAAGCATCACAAATAATTTTTTTATTATTCAGATTCTTGTAGGATTTTCAGTTTGCGAAGTCTCTGAATGAAACATTAGCTTCTCAAGTGATTTTTCAATCCTAAGAGAAAGTGTTATCTTTAGTGATACATTTTCAGATATGTGATAATTTTTGTTGATAAGGCTCATGAATTTTGTTACAAATTAAGTGCTTCACTGCACCAAGTGAAGGTGATGTTTTCTTGTAATTTGCTTTTGTATGCCAACACCATTTGGCAGATAATTTTTCTCATGCCCTTTGAGAAGGTTAAGTGAAGACGGAGATTTTTCGTTTTGTGCAAATACTAGGATGTGTATGTGTTTTTACTACTGTTATAATTCTCTTTAAAAGTTGTTGAGCACTGAGAACTAAGCAGTCAGGAGAGACTTAACAGATAAAACTGTACTTTTTCATCGGAGGAGCTTTCTTGTAAAGTTCTACAGCATAGAGAATTTTTTGTTTTATTAATTTTTACTATTGTAAAAGTCTCATTAACTTGCATTTCTGACATTGAAATAAGGAAGCCAACCATATTCCCAAATGCTTTCCCAGTTTGTTGAGACCACTTGTAAAATTATTGGTACCAAACTTAATACTGCTCCATCCTTTTCTTTGTTTTAATTCCTGCTAAGCTCTTCTACCATGCTGTGTGCTCTTATATTATATCCAGTGTGACTGAAATTGTCCTCATATTAATCCTTCTGTTGATCTGTCAATCACTTCCATTTGCCCTATACTTTTACATTTGCAAGGGCCTTTTTCCTTTGATATCTTCCCAGTCCAACCAACAACTCCTTCCCAGTACTGCGGACATTTAACTTTTAGATTAGGCTAGCAAATACCTTCTTAAATCTCAGGCAAATTATATATAAGTCTATATAAGTCTATTTAATATCAATGTTTTTCAGATCCACACTGTTTTCCCCATTCTGTGTCTCAGTTATTTCTGGCTACACATCACTAATTTTGTTTCTTCTTCAGCCTACCTGTAAATAAGATCCCCTATTTTTGAGGATTTTAATTATTTTTATGCTATACTCTTGTGTTGAAAGTATATGAGCATTCTTTCCTAGGAGGATGGAAAAAGAAAGCACTTCAGAAGGGAAAACTTACACGGGAGAAAGAATTGGAAGAATAAAAGAAGAAATGAGAAAGCAGAGAGGTCTATTATCTCCCACACAGATATGATTTACAATTATAAGTGAGAGCTCTACATGGAAGGACTCTTTGTTCCTTCATCACTTTATAAATTTATAAATACAATGTAATATCCTTTTGCCAGGGCAGCATACAATATCTAAAGTATACCAGTGAAGTATTTATTAGGTATCAATGCATTTGGATTTTGGCTTAAACACCAAAATGACCAAGAATATTTTGTTCATGATGACCCAAAACCTGCAGGGTGACAGATCTCTCCAGCGTGAGTCACTTTGATAACACAACAAAATCAAAAGGTTTGGATGTTCAGAGGGCAGAGCACTTAGAGCATAAATTGGAAAAATGCAAAAGTGCTCACCTTCTGATAAATATTTATGAAGAAACACTTTGAAAATAAAACAATTTGGAAAAATGACTTGGAAAAACAAATTGGAAAAACATGCACAAATTGTTTCTTCATACGGTTTAGTGTGTTCACTAGTTACCTTGCCAGCTTCTGTCAGGAGGAACTAGGAGGCCTATAATAGTGTGATTGCTCTTAGTTTGCAATAAAGTCTCATGAGGAACCAGGACTTAAAATTCCAGATCCCACTGATCTGGTGTTTCTTTGATGCTAAACGTAGACTGATAGAGAACTACCAAAATTTGCCCCCACTCAGTAAACAGTGTAGGAAATTCCAGTTTCCTGCTTATGGAAACTTAGTCTAAAGGCCACCTGAGGTCATTATGTGTTGCATTATCTCTCAGTGCCTTTATCCAGGGAATTCCAGGAAGTCATTTATCTCATGACACAACAGCCTTTGGTCAACAGCTTGTACCCTTTGTAGGAAAAGTAGATAATGGTCAGTACTAATGATATTGTTCTGGGAGTATGGGTTGTAAATCCCTCCCAGAAAGTCTGGCAAATACTTGGGTATTTTGCATGAGTATCTGAGCAAACTTTGTTTTGGGCAGGTTGTGGGTAGCTTTGTGCATGGCAGTGGCAGCGGTGTGAATGCTGTGCCAATGCACATTAGTTTGAGTAGAAGTTTGCCAGCATAAAATCCACTCATTTAATTACTGACCACCTTTCTCTAATGTGCAAAAGTGTGGTGGAGAAGATTCCTACAGTCACTAGCAATTCCATTACTGTCCTTGAATGGTAACCAAGGACAGCTGACACCTTGTCATTGTGCACAGTATTTCATAATGCTGGTGTTATCAGGTTGCCGCTTAATTCCTCATCTCTCACCCTCAGCCTTATCCTGGCCCTGGTAGAATAAATACACACCCTTCCTTTGGAGGCATTTTTAGAGCAGTCAAAGAATTCTCTTATTTTCAGTTTTTATGTCTGTAGTTGCTCGCTATCATTCTTTAAAGAGCCTGTTAACATCACAGTTGTATCATCCATGTAAGTGAAAGAACACAGCTAAGATTTGAATTTCAGAAGCATGGAGTGTTCTGATGTCACCTTTCCTTATTCTACTGCATCTAAAAGCCCAAACCAGTTCATCTTCTTTTACCTTTTCATTTAGTGCTTGAAGAACCCTTGGAATTTATTTTCTTGGTCTGTTTTTCAGTCTCAGATGAATGCGTAGCATTGGCACAGGTTGGGGAGGCAAACACCGTGTGTTATACTGCACTATCCCTTCCCTCTTCCTCCAAGGCTTCAT